AGGCTGCTGTTTTGTCCTATTGATGGTGTCTTTTGCCTTACAGAAACATTTCAATTCCATAAGATCCCATTTGTTAAATGTTGATCTTGGTGCCTGCAAGATGGGTTATCTGTTCAGGAAGTTGTCTCCTATGCCATTATGTTCAAGATTATTTCCCACTTTCTCTTCTGATTCCTTGTCCAGACTTACTACATGGGCAAATGCTTAGTCTTACTGTAACTAGATATGACATGTTTTGTTGATACTCGTCGGAGGCCTGCCCTTTTGTGAAAAGAAACAGATGATTGAATTGGGGAAGGGCAGAAGGGGAGGTGGAGGGAGGGACTGGGAGGAGAGGAGAGAGGGAAAACTGAGGTCAGGATGTAAAATAAATTTAAAAAAATAATTTTTCAAAAATGTAAATACAGTCTTTATTGGTAAGAACAGAAACTGAAACTTGCTTTAGTGAAGGAGCTGCTTTTGTACTATCAATTGTTGTGGACCAGGGTGTTTTCATAAAAAATACAGATGTATGTCCAGATGCAGAGGCAAAAAACAGAATATTTGCCAGGTTCAAGAGTGGATAGACTGAATGAAGACACCGAGGGTAATCAGAGGAGCTGGGAAAGGCAGATAAGTAGGCCTTATGACAGCAAGGTCTGAGCTCAGCTGAGGACGCAGGGACTTCCTCTGTTTGTCCATGTCCATCCTTGGCTAACACATCAAGTGTCAGTTAACAGGTGAGTGGGGGCAATTGCCATCATAGTGATAGGTGTACACTTTGTTCTGTGGTTCAAATGGAGGGAGTTCCACCTTTCCTTTGCTCTGGTGTGTGTGGTAAGTTCCTGGGCTTGGTTTTCCTTTGCAATCTCTTGTGATGGGGGTCATTTCTTACACTTCATGTCCTGCATCTGCACACATGTCCAGATAGGGAAAAACATGCTCTCCCTTCTTGTTCTCCAAAATTGTTCTGCTCGTTCTTGTCTCTGTCAACTTTATTCTGCTCCACTCCCATCTCCCAGCTAACGCATTTCTCTTCCTTCGAATACCCTGCAAAACCCATTTCCTGACATTACACCACCAATGTCGGTCTAAAAATTAATTTGAGTTATAGCCATGACTACACCTTATTTAGAAGTATATTTTAAACATATTTTACACTATTGGATTTTGAGTTCCTGGAAAGCAAGTGCCCGGTCTTTCTAAGGTCAGAAGGTGAGTTTGTAAGAGCATTAAACATAGGGGTGAAATTCACAGTTGCAAGGCACTTGTAAATCCATGGAGCAAGCACAGACACAATTGATGTCATCATCTCAGGTCCATGGTGTATCATTAATGGGAAATGTATGGTCTAGGTTTGACAATAGATGCTTAAAAGATTTCTGCCACAGGAGTGCTATTTTGGCACGACTAATAAAGTCCATGTCTCTGACAAGGAGTCCTATGTCCTGCAAGCACCCTTACAACTCTGTTAGGTCAACTCGCTAAAATGCTGTTGTTTTCATGGGGAATCCTTGGTTATTGTACAAGTTCCTGTAATTTTTTTCCCTTCAACCACCGTCTCCCTCTCTTATAGGTGAAAACCATGACTGACCCTGTTGATGGTACTGAGCAATCAGACCTTGACAGAGAACTTTGTATTAAGTGTGTCACCTCAGTCACACAGGACAGCATCTATATCGACAAGGAAACTTCTTTCCCTGTCCATCTGTTTTCTGGAGGTAAGATTTATAGTTTTAAAAGCAAAGAGCAAGAGTGTGTGAAATGTCCTGGAAATTGAAAGTGGGGTACAATTAAAATGGGGAATATGGGCAATATTTTAAGTATCACATAGCGGTCCTGTCCCCCAGTGCCATCATCATGCTTCCATGTGGTTTTCACTACTCAATTGATTGGTTTGGCTATTTTGACTTCTCATACAGGGTTCCTCTAAGTTATCTGAAACTCACTATGCATGTAAGAATTGTTCATGACCTTAGCAAACCCATCCCTGACTCTTCTGAGTGCTGAGGGCATAATCTTTCTGCCACTGCATCAGGATACATGCAAAACATCATAAATCATAACATGTCACAAGTATAGGAGATTTATCCTGAAAATACATCCACCATTTCAGAGCAAAGGTGCAGATAGGCCTCTTTCTTTCTGTGTCCTCTTTCCAGAATACCATCAGATATGGTCTCATATTTTGTCCCTAGCCCATGTACCAAGGTTGAAACATGTGATCCTACTGTGTACCTGACTTCCATCCCCAAATGAGATCTCAAAATGACCACTTGATGAGAAAATCCAGTACTCCTATCTGTAACTTTCACTCTGAGAGTCACAGTTTTTAGTTATCCATGTCTGTGAATAAATCATTGTTGAAGAACCAGCGTTTAAAGGGCCTTAAGCGTCCCTTCCTGTAGGAAGATATTTGAGATGTCTGTGTAAGTATTTGGAAAAGTTACTTTGCATTCAGGAAATGTTTGTCAGCATATCGCCTTGATGAAGGGTCTTAGGTATTGTGACATGACCTGAGTGCCATAATATTTACAATTCTATTGTTCTTGGTTCTTTTAGAATTCATGCCTTACACAGGAGACTTGTTGCTGGTTGAGTATTCCATGAAGACAGGCACGTCAAACACGAACATCCACACCGTGAGCCCCTTAAGCTCCCAGAATATGGATGAGGTAATTTGCTTCCATGTTGCCCTTGTCATGGGCAGGTAGCTGCCTATTCTTCCTTCCTGGTTACTTTTTTGCCCAAGACTTTGTTTGGTATGTTTGCTAGTATATTCCCTGCCAAAGTGGACAAACTCACTGATTGAAAAGGAAATAAGCAGAAAATAATGTAGAATATACACATTGTTAACTCCTAGCTTTTGTGCTTTACTTGACGTTAGGGTGTTCTGTGAAAAACAGTTCAAAAGCGTCTTGGCCTTGAGGCCATTGTGGGGAAACTGTGAGTGCACTGGGTTTGAGGTGTTCAGCCTGCTTATAAGGATGGGTAAGACATTGTCTAGTACAGCCTGAGAATAAGATGTAAACTCATGGAGGTAGAGTGTGAAATCACATTGTGTAGCATGAAGATCATGTCTTCTCATCACAGGAGATAGAGTGTGGAGCCACATTGTGTAGCATGAAGATCATCTCTTCTCATCACAGGAGACAGAGTGTGAGGCCACATTGTGTAGCAAGAAGATCATGTCTTCTCATCACAGGAGATAGAGTGTTGAGCCATGTTGGGTAGCATGAAGGGCATGTCTTCTCATCACGCAGGAGATAGAATGTGAGGCCACATTGTGTAGCATGAAGATCATGTCTTCTCATCATGCAGGAGATAGAGTGAGGAGCCATGTGGGGTAGCCTAAAGGGCATGTGTTCTCATTACACAGGGGACAGAGTGTGAGGCCACATTGTGTAGCATGAAGACCATGTCTTCTCATCACGCAGGAGATAGATATGGAGCCATTTTGGGTAGCATGAAGATCATTTCTTCTCATCACGTAGGAGATAGAGGGTGAGGCCACTTTGTGTAGCATGAAGACCATGTCTTCCCATCACACAGGAGACAGAGTGTGAAGCCACATTGGGTTTCATGAAGGGCATGTCTTCTCATCACATGAGATAGACTGTGGTGTCATATTGAGTAGCCTGAAGGACACATCCTTTAATAAGTCACCCAATGTTTGTCTTATTTCTCTGCTTTAATAGGAGTGATGTGGGATGGTGACTCATTGTGTTAATATAATACCCAGGCATTCCCTGTGTGTCAAGGATGAGAATCAGTGATGGGTTGAAGGACCTGCTGAGTAGAGCCAAGGGGTTGTTGAGGTCCATCTGTGGTGGGTTATGCTTCTCCATACTCATTGCCCTCATTTCTCTTGATAGGTCTGTGTTACCAGTACTGATGGAAAAACTGGTGTGGTGGAATCCTGTGTCTTTTTTACTGTGGATTCCCTCCAGAAGCCTACTGATTATACTCCGGGATTGTATGACATCGTGAATGTGGTTGCTGTGGACAGCATTCAACCACACTGTTCTTGGAGAGCAGTATCAATGATCCCAGTGGAAATGTAAATTGACCAAGCCTTGTAATTCACTATTATTTCGAAGGCTCTGGGTTAATAAAACAAAATGAGCATGTAATCTAAAGATATTAACTATGACTCTTCTTTTAAACATCCTGGTGATTTCATTAGGAACATGAACTCATTTTAGGAAGGTACCTTGTTAATTCAAAACCATGCCCTATTGGAACATGATTTTATCAAAGAAATAACCCTGCCCTTAGGGTAAATGCATCATTTTCTATAAGCAAGAGTGCTTCAGTGTTGCCAGTGGCCAAGTGGGCCATTAAGCAGCATGGAGAAGCAAAGGATTTAACTCAAGGTTCCAGGACTGAGCAGGTGAATGTGACCAGGTTATATTTGACATTACAGCTTGCCTTCTAGCTTGAGTCTCTCTATGCCTTTCCAAAGTTTTTTTCTTTACAGAATCTTTTATTTCCTACTAGCTATTCCATTTGTTAAACATAGTCTTTATTTGTGGATCCTCTTCCTGTGATAGTATACCAAACATGCAAGTGCAGAGAAATGAAAGACCAGACCCTGGTCTACTTCTAACAGAAAGATGAGAGTACACTTTTAGTAGTCTGAGAGGTGGCACCCCCCCCCAAAGTCCTTCCTATACTGAGGAGGACCTTCTGTGAAGTTAACTGGCCCTCCTTCGACATTTCCTGCCCTTTAGAAGGAATCCTGGACCTTTCCAAGATCTGCAGAGTGAAGGATGCCTGCACTGGAGAGCCAGGCCACCTGGACCAGTTTCCTTACATCAATACCTGGTGTAGTCTGGCGCTCTACCCACAAGACAGAGTTCAATTCCATGCCTCTTGGGTATCCACTGCCGTCCTGATCTCTAAGAGGAGTTTCAACCCTGAAAAAGCCACCTATCTTCCAGTTAGAGGATGAGGATTTGGAACTTCCACCATCTACCCCTCCTTCTGAGGGTGGCCATCCCCACGATAAGAATTCAGAACGAAGTGCCAATGTCTGCTTTGTATCCTGACTTCCTGTCTGATGGCTCATGCCACAGCTGCCATTGGCCCCTTTTCCACAGACCGCTGGAGGGTATCCTCCACCTCAGTATGCTTAAGGTCCAGGCCCCTGAAGGCTTCCCAGTGACCAGCCATTGAGTGCCCCGTGCCTGTGGTGTCAAACTCCATGGCCAGCCAACCTCCAGGAGGACAGGATTCTCAGACCAGACCCAGTTCATTATATTTATCAGGCATTCACCACTACTGATTTCCTGAACTAGTGACATCACACCCCACCATACTTAGAGCAGCCACAAGTTATGATCCAGTGTTGTAGAATATTATTTTGAGTTGTGTTACTTTTGTTTATGTTGCATTTGTTTTAACTGTGAAGCTGTGTTACTGTGCCTATCTAAAACACCTGGTGGCCTAATAAAAAGCTGACCGGCCAATAACTAGGCAGGAGAAAGGATAGGCGGGGGCTGGCAGGCAGAGAGAATAAATAGAAGGAGAAAATCTTGGAGAAAAGGAAGAAAGACCAAGAGAACAAGGAGGGGAGGGTGTTGGGAGCCAGGGGCCCAGCCACCCAGTCAACCAGCCAGCCATGGAGTAAGAGTGAGAATAAGATATACAGAAGAAAAGAAAAAAGCCCAGAGGGAATAGGTAGATGGGATAATTTAAGTTAACAAAAACTGGCTAGAAACAACTCAAGCTATGGCAGGGCATTTAAAAGTAAGAAAAGCCTCTCTGTAGTTATGTGGGAAATGGGTGGTGGGGCCCCCAAAAGAGTAGAAAAATCAAACAACAGCACTCTTCCTCATGTCTACCATTATGCACAGCCACTAACTTACTTGGGACAACTGCCAACAGCTCCTGATTGCCCTTTTTACCTCCAGAGGAAAGAGTGTAGGGTCTACTAGGCAGCACCTGCCTGGCTGATTATTCAAGCATCCCAAACACTAGTAACCTGAAGTGATTTGCCGACACCTTCCTTCCTGATAAGTGTCCCAAATGTAACCCCAACACACCAGAGGTCCTCCAGGCACTTCTAAGAATGATGAAAGTCAGGCTGGAAGAGTTCAGAATGGAGATTGTGGAATCACAATCTTGGTCAAAATTTGAAGAGTCACTCAGTGCTCTGATGAGTCCCTGAACCAATTGTATGACCAGCTCTGTGACAGTTAAAGACAGTACACCCCTTTTGACCCAGAGGCCCCTGTGCACTGGACAGTGGTCAACACAGCTTTTGGCCAACAGTTGATAACAGATGTTCACTGGAAGCCCCAAATGCAAGAGGAATTTTACAGGGATACATCCTGAGCAATTTATAGACATCACCATAAAAGTGGGTATTAACTTGTCAAAGGCTGCAAAAAAATGATGGTGCTCACATTGGGGACTAGATAAAATTCAGCTTCCCCGAAATTCCTGCAACAGTTCGTTTCCATATGAAGGTTAAAATAACCAGTTTCTTTTCTGATACCAGCCATGAAAATTAAGAAGAACAAAAATGAAAATAAAATTCTTACAGACATTATGAGGGAATATGTCATTTTATTTTACTTATTTTTATTGAAAATAGATTCTTCTTGGCAAAGACCAAGATAGCCAGGAGACTCTCTGCCTTCAAGATGCCTAGGTCAAGGAGTCAGTGATGGTGTTGTCGGGGCCTTGCTATGATTATGCACATAATCAGCCCTTAGAGCAAGTATGCAGTTTTGATCAACCAGGCCTCACCCATCCTACAACTACCCAGTGCCTGTGCAAGATAATGGGAACATGCCTAATGTACCCAGCCACTCCCAGGACCCTCAGGGCCCATGCCTGGAAAGGCTGAAGAACCCAGAAAATAATCCCACTGATGGATGAGGACCCTTCCTTGTTGCCCCCCAATAAAAATGTGAAAACCAACTCCCCCCAAAAGGAAAGAAAATAGATTCTCCTCTCATACAATAAATCCCACCCACAGTTTCCCTTCCTTGTAGAGGTAACCAACCGTTTTATTAAACAAGAAACACGTAACCAATGCAAAGAAGAAAGCCAATGGATCAGAG